GATTTCGTATCTTTTATCTAAATGGGTACCTCGTGCGCTCTGTCTTACGTTCTTCTGTCTATGACGATGCCGTCTGGTTTCATTTCGCATCTGCAAGATCTCGCGACGGTCTAGCAAGTTTTGCCTGCCGGTCGCTGACCCCTCCACCTCTCATCTTTCTTCCTCCCTCGTCTTCTATCGACTACCCCACGATCTTGTCTTTCCCGTTCGTCCTCCTTCGTCTTCTTCCTCCTCGGCTCTTATCGAACTCGCGTCTTCCTCGTCGTACTGAATCTTCTTGTCCTACCTTCCGATTTATGGGTCGTCGAAAGTTGGCCAAAAAAGGAACGGGAAAAATTTGAAGGAATCCGACCTGCTTTCTTGTTTCCTCTTTCTTCTCTTTTTCTTTAACGTTTTCTACTTCACCTCTCTTTCTTTTCTTCGCGCGTATCTCCTGCGTGCGCGTGCAACGCGCGCCAACTATACAAGAGGGATCGTTTCTTCTCAGAACATCCGACGGATATCTCCCTAATTACTTTGGGGGGTTGGATTCCTGAGGATGCTGGAGAAAAGCCCCTAGGCGAGACACGGCATGACGCGGCGCTCCTGACGAGCCGATCGAGAAATTCCAAAGCGCTACATTCTTTTCTTTCATCTTTTCGATACTCATTCTTTCACGACAATTCTGTATTTTACAATATGACAATAAGTGATATCAAATGTTGCAAGCGTTCAAATATTGATTATTCTCTCAATAATTCTGTAGTCTTTAATATAATTTTTCATATCGCAATAATTATTAATTCATTGGACATCTTATTTGAAATTTATTATTATTATTGGCTTGTTTTTTCATTTATTCTTATACCAAGAATCTCGTTAATTTAAAAAGTCCTAATTAATTTTATTTTGATATAATATGTATTCTCAATTCGTGTCAAATCAATTCAAAGAAAAATTTATGCAGATATTACATCCAATACGAGTCATCTTCGACTTAATCATAAAGATTTTTTTACATTAATCAAGCAGATGTAGAAATTTCTTTTTGAATCATTAAGAATTGGAAAAATGTTTCAACTCGTTATAACAAGTGTAACACTTTTGAGTAATAACATTATATTGACGCAAAGTTGAAAAAAAAAAAGAATTTTTCATTCATAAAATCATAAAACCGCCATTACATACATGGTCATTATTTAATTAATAAACTTAATAAAAATTAAATTAGAATATGTAGACGTACTTATTATTGATTACATTATTTTTAAAAGTGCAGTGTAAATCCATTACTGTTTAGGAAAGTAATATTTTTGTCGATCAAAAAAATATTAATTCTCGTGTATTGCAGAAAAATTATAAACCAAAAAAAAAAAATATAATTTTAATATTTGAGTCACTTCCCCCCTCCTCCCTGCTAAATTAATTACGTTTATTAAAAAGTCAATTTTACTTGCTTCTTACTCTTTTCTAATCGTCATCTTAGTTATCGTTCGCGAAAGACATAAAGCTGATCGTACGACGCCGCCTTCAACTTGATTTCCGAAGCAAAATCATCGAGTAGCATCAAATCTTCATCCTTAGGCGAAAACGAGGAAGGACCGAAGCACGCGCTCTCCCGCGGAATGTTTGCTCGGTGTAACGGACGGTCATCCTCCAGAAATAGCTCGTGTCCTTTTTCGAGGAGCCTGCGAGGTGGGAGGTGAGATCGTCACCGTAAAGACAGTCGCGATCGATAAGACCGTGATCGATTCGCGCGGCGAAATGCCGCAATTCGAATGCACAGGCCAAATTTGACATACGCTCGGGCGTGGCCGCCGGCGTGGCCTTTATTTAGTCCTTTCGCGTCTAGTGGTCTTTTGTAAACGCCTTTCCTTTCGCGGGGCCGAACCGAAGAGAATAACGGTTGCTCCGACGCCAAGTTCCTTGAGTTATTGCTAGCAATTAAAACGTTTTCGACGAATCAAGCTTCGGAGATACGAGCCGTAGAGGCCTTGTATTCCAATTAACTTTAACATGGCTTTTACTTTAATTTAACAAGCATTAAGGTTCGTGCATTATAATTGAAATAACCGACGAAGAACCTTCAGTAATGTCAAAGGCAGAGGATGTTACGATTAATCTCATCAATTTAATTTTATTCAATAATTTTAATCAATTTTATCGAGGTCTATTAATTATATTGCTTTTATTTATAATTTGGATACAGAGTCATCTTTATTCTCTGGAAGAAAAAAAAAAAATACGAAAGTTACGAGAGAAGTTTGTCTGCATAGAAAAACTTGTTACTAAATCATTAGCGACTTGTTTCCGCTATAATTAGACGCTCTAAAACTTATAATAGGTCATAAAAATAGTGTTTTTTTTTTACCGGTTATACGGAATAAAGAAGCGCGTGTTGTTAGAAGACTCTTACGGTGCACGACCGTTAAGGTATAAATAAGCGAATTCCCCGTACTTTCTATGCCCAAACGTAGCTTTTCCTGCGTTCTCCGAATGGGGGAAACGAGAAACCGGTGAAAATCGTCTTTTGCATCGCGCGCGCAACGATGTACCGTTCAGTTTGTCGATCGATAGTATTGCAAAAAGTTGCATCGCGGAAACACGCACCGCTCGTCCTATCATGATGGTCTTCGACGTTAAGACGCGCCGGTAAATGACGGCGTCATGCATTATTTAGCAAATGCTATGGATCACTGCTCGCAGACGCATTCCGTCCATCGAAATTATGCGAATAGCTCACATAAATAATTCGACACGGAGGAAGTCTTTTTAATTCGTAACGTTGCAGTTGATGGAAGGAGACTCTGGCATGCCTAAGTTAAGCCTTTGTTGCCGTGACGTAATGTGGTTTTTTTGATAAAAATTTTCAATTTTAATAATATGAAGGGCATATTACGCCTTTGTACAATTTTTATATTTATATAATGAAAAAATTATAAAAAAACTTACTTAAAATTATTCTATAAATAGCATTTAAAATTAATACAAAAAGGTTCAGCTAGGTTTAGACAACTAGGATTAAAAATTAATCGTCGCAAAATTGTTTAAATCCAATCTAAAATAATCTATTAATTTTCTCGTAATTTTTTTCATAGTAAGTAAAAATATGTGTAATCTTTAAATTATCAAGAACTTACTTATTTTATCACAAGCGCGTAAAAGCAAAGCTTGACAAATTATTGAATTTATGCTTTGTTACAAAAAGATAAAAGATAAAAATTTGATTTTCAAAATTATCTGACCACTACCAGTTATCTTGAAGAATAAAGCTTTCTCTTTAAACAGATAATGATGTCGCATGCTCGACGTCTTATACACGAAGGACAATGTAGTTTTTCATCGCATGCGATCGGCGCGCGGCCGTTGTACGATAATTTAACGCACGACTTCATAACGATGCCTAACGATTACGTCCATATTACCGATAAAACACGTACATACAGTAAAAAGTATACGATCAAGCATCACGATTTCACCGGTGAAATGTTTCCGTAAACGGTAATGTCTTCAAGCCGTAGATAGATAACGCATTGCAGCGATTGGAATCTCACAGTTTCTACAGAAATGATACAAAAGCATCTATTTCCGTTATTACCAATTCAGTTCATTCTGAATCGCATAATTATGTCGCTCTTATCTACATTGAGTTTCGTTATCGCGTAATCTCTCTCTGTTCCGGTTGATTCTGCGCCAATAGCGTTTGCAACCTTCAACCTGTGTGAATCCTAAAGTCGAGTAGTCTTCAAATAGTTGAGATTCGGGAAATAGTATTTGTCGAAGCTATCGAGACAATACCGTTATCGCGCGTTCGGTTTCCGACTTAAAAATCTACAAATCATCTGAATTTAATGACGCCTATCTTCCTAAAACAAATACTCGAATGCGCCTGAACGTTGCGTCTGAGCGTTCCGCGTATTTCGCGATGTTCCTTTTCGAGCGGGCTCGCTCCGATGAGCACCCGACGAAGCCCGGTAAGTGTAAACTCCTCGTGAATGGCCTCTTATACTTCGTGGTACTTATGACATAATAATTTCATTACGTGCGGCGCATTACACGCCGAGGAGAAACGGCGGGCGTGTGAGGGGAGCGTATAAAACTCGAAGCGCAACACAACACAAGACCTCCGCGCGGGCGGAGGCATTGACCAGGCGGTGATGCGTTTGCATCGGATCCAAAGAGACCAGCGGGAATCACGCGGTGGCCCCGATTCTCGTGTTACCGGAAGCGACGCGTCGCACGTCATATTTCTTCGATCGCCTCGCCCGCGAAACCCACCCGCAACGATCGACCGCAGGTCTCCAGTCCGTCAGATCTAGACCGTAGGACTTCTTTGGCTTCGACAGATAGATAGCTAGTGAGCTATCTAGAGAGAATGGGAAATAACGGCTGGAGAGAGGATTGTGCGTTGTGAAAGATTAATAATTGTCCGACTGACTACTCTGCGTTAATTCCTGTATTGCAAGTGGCAAATCTATGCAGATCACCATGGCGGACTTAATTTCGCAATATCATTTTACGTCCGTTATTTTCAAGTTCGCAAGTTTTTCATAAATTGTATGTAGATAAATCTGGTAAAAAGTTTAATATCGTGCGCGTATTTTTGGCGTTTATTTGCATCGAAATATATAACGTCATGACGATTTATAACTCAATAGAGAAATTACGAGTTGCGACTTAATCCGGATCCGGTTGCTGCCCTGCTAATTTATTCAATTTCACTCGGAAGCTTTTTTTTATTTATTTATTCCCGAGCGAACGAAGTTGTTCGTACGTTAAATACACGTAAATATCGCTGGACCACGCAGTTGATCATTCGTTCTCGAGAGATTTTCGAGAGTGAGCAACATCCAGAGAAACATACACTCGAGACCTCGAAAGAGTGGGAGAAAGAAGGAGAGAGAGAGAGAGAGAGAGAGAGAGAGAGAGAGAGAGAGAGAGAGAGAGAGAGAGAGAGAGAGAGAGAGAGAGAGAGAGAAAGAGAAAGGGAGGCAAACCATGCTCTTGGGAATATGTATTACCTTGGTATGAAGGAACGCCAGAGACTTGTTCACATTCTCGATTTTGTGAACTCGCATGCGCCCGTTGTTGGGCTTGGCCAATCGCTCGCCGGAGATGATCTCCAATAGTTTGAGCAGTTTCTTGCCATCTGCCAGATCGGTGAACAGATCATCCACCTCCATGCGCGCCTGGAAAGCCATCCAATTCTGATGTGATTCGATTCGAAAGTCCGAATACGCGGAGAAATATTATAATTGTAGAAAATGATTATTCATCAAAAGTAATTTCATACATCAAGACTAATTAATACTGTCAACAAACACCGTCAACACTGTGTTTACGATGATGTTTTGGAGATAGGCATGAATATTTTACATCTAAACATGCAAATTTTTATCTTTTTGGCAATCTGCCAAATTTCTTTAATTACTTAATATATTATCTAGAATTAGAATTATTAGGTGTACTCTACCTTCAGCAAAAATGAGTTGATCCATTTTGTGAACGTCTTCTTTTGGATATGAAGACGTTCTTCTTGCAGGGCCTTAATGCGGCCCTGCTCGAACTTGAGGACGTCTTCCCTCTGAGTCATTCTCTTCTGTATCTGTGCACCGCCCCTGTGTCTGTCGACTCTCGGTGGCGGATATGTGAAGGCGTCTCCGTAACTACGAATTCTTTCTCGGGGTGCGGCGCTGGACCCGGCGCCGGGCACATACTGCGCCCCTGAAACAAAAACCGTCTGCTTTTGGAAAACACATGCCGTTAGAGTAAACGTAGTATAAACACAGAATACAACCATATTCGTATTCCCCTGACTACGTGAGATACAACCATAAACGTTCGCCATGAATGTACGAGGGGGGAAGGAGGGGGGGGGTTTAGCATCTGTGTCCTTTCTAGTGCATGTGTTTGAAAATCCTTTCGTGACTGACTCTCACGTGAATTCCATGGGATAAAAGTTGATTCATTAGCGAAAAATAACAAAACCAAAATATGAACGATATTTTCGAAACAATCATTTCTGAAAACTAGGTAGCCGAGAGATTTTTCAAATAAAATCAGAATTTTTGCTATGTACACGAAAATAAGCTTTTGAAAGCTAGAAAATTTAAAAATTTGATACAGATACAGATCTGAAAATAATTTTGTCTTTAAAATTATATATAAAAATTATTATGTATTAAAAATTATTATGTAACGTTCAAATTGAGTGCTAGAAGATAAAAAAATTTTGCAATATTATTATCATGTTATTTAAACGTTTTGTATCGTAATTCTGATGGTCCAACAAAATTATTTTTAGATCTGTACTGGCCAAATTTTTACATTTGCCAGCAAAACTATTGTCTCCGTGTATAAATGATAGCGTATAATGAAATCACGCATTAAAAGTTTATAATAAAAATGAATTTGTGAGATAAAATAAATATTATATGTATTTTTCTTAAAATTGGAAAGTTCAAAAAAATTTTTAAATATACATTTTTAGCAATTTATAATGCAACTCTTTTATATTTTCTGGAAAATTACATCAAAACCCATTTCATTAATCAATTTCACATTCCAATTTAAATCTATCTGTTAGTTATTGATCATTGATCCATGTATACGATAATAGTTTAATTGAAATCCAGAGGCAAAGATCTGTACGTTTATAAATAGTTCCTAACTAATAAAACGATCTTTCATTATTTTGACATAGAATGTTCTAACATTTGACCGCAGCAATATTGCATCGTCAATTCATCATGATGTATCGAATAGTCACGCCGATAAGAAACTATCGATGGAAAATGTGACCTCATAAAATTCAATATATTTCATGTTTTTCTATTAGAAAAAGCTAATAACAAAATATTTAAAGGAATAATAAATATGGCAAGATACATTATCGCACAGATAAATATCATGTTACTTTTTAAACGTTTTAAAACCTTTTTATTAACGTGCTCAGCACTTCTTAGAGCCGTTCAAGATAACAGAGAGAGAGAGAGAGAGAGAGAGAGAGAGAGAGAGAGAGAGAGAGAGAG